ACTAGTGCCCAAGCAGGTTTCCTGCCCCTCTCCTTGTGAATGGCAAAGTCTGCTTTGTACCAGGGCAGGATTCTAGATTTGGAAGGTTTCCTGCTTTCACCCTGCAGTGACTTAGTGTCAGTGCATGGTGAATACATCAGGTTTTCCACCCCCCACCTCAGGACAAAGGAGGTTTTCCTGCAGGCATGGCAAGGACTGGCGATGTGACGATTTCTTGCCCCTCTCCCAAGAACAGGTGACTTTTGCCTCATATCTCTCAGAGTCCTGTCCAGGGTGTGGGGGTCTCCTGCTTCTCTCCCCCAGCAGCAGCCAGCTATTACTTTATCTCAGAGGAGGGTCCAGGGCATCTGCAGGTGTATCCCTGTCCTCCCCTCCACCCCCATAGCAGTTGATCATCACCTATGCTCATGCAGGGCCCAGCCTGTGGATGGTATGCCTGCTCCACCCTGGAACTTCTGCAGGTCCTGCTCCTGCGTGAGCTTGCGCCACCCAGGGGCTCTCAGGTCTCCTGCCCACCCCCAGTCTTTCTTGTGACCAGAGAGCTGTTTAGGTCTTTGTAGGAGTTCTTTATGTATTAGGGAGTTGTGCCTTTGTCTGTGCTGTGAGTTAGTCTTTCATAGTAGTCAATACTTTTTCTTCATGATACTAATTCCTGTTTTTCATGATTTCTTTATTTATGATTATTTTTTAAAGCTCCATCAGATCGAGGCCCATGTTTATTTGTTTTTCATTGTATATTGAGCACCAAGTAAAATGCTGAACACATAGTAAATGATCAATAAATATTTAATGCATGGGCCAAACGTGATGAAGAGCATTTTGGTACATAAGTAAACTGGGAACTTGGAAGGGAACAATTTTGTATGAAAATGTGATGAGTTTGTTTTTGGATATGTGACATTTAGGTGACAACCAATATTCTAAGTTGAATACATACTATGCTCTTATTTGGCAAGATACTCGCGAAGATATCGGAGTCATCACCATGAAGTGTTTGATTGGAAACAGATCTCTGATGAAGAGACTGTTATGTGAGGGTTCTCAAACACTTCCAATCAAAAACTATTTCAAGTGATTATAGTTGTTACAACAACTTTCAAACAAATATGAAAAGAAAAGAAAACTAGAAGCATTATATATTTGTAAGTATAATGATATCAGGAATGTAGAAAAATGTTAATGCCTTGGAACAATAATTATTAATGCAAAGTATTTAGCTAATATGTTATAATTATGCCCCAGTTACTTATTGTGAAGAAAAGAAAACTTTACTAATGGAAAGCTGAGTTCATTATACTCATATAAGTGTGTGGAAATCAAAAGCGCTTTTATTATATAATGTAGGCTATTTGGATTATCAGTGTATTCTGTTTTTCAGTTTAAATTGGACATTGATTGTGTTTTCTATACTGAAATACCACTGAGAGATAGTTACTATCAATTTAGTCTCCAAGTCTATATATTAACTGCACGAAAAAAAAGAACCCATTCAGTCTTCTAAAAAGAAATGCTTATTTTTTTCAGAACAGAGACTTTATCCTAAAATAAACTATATATATAATTTAATACACAGGAATATCTTGATGGCTACAGTCATTGAATAACTATTTGACTTAAATATATATGAATTGGTCCCTTTAATAAATCTGTTGTGAAGTTATAGTCCCTGTTCAATAATTATAAGAAAATAACTTGGGCAGGAATTTGATTTTGATGGCTAGCAGATGTGGCATCTCAGTGTCAATCTTGATTTTCAGATGAGCCTGTGGATTAAAAAAATACTATCTTTGAAGTATACATTTTTCTCCTTTTCATTAAAATCTATGAGTTGAGAAATGAGGAGTATGTATATAATTGTGCTGGACAGACAAATAAATCATTTAGACAAAAGTTCTGGTTGTGTTAGGATGTCTTTCGGCTGGACATTTAGCTATCTTTGCCTTATTGATCAGAAATCCTGGTATTTCGGGCATTTTTGTTATGAAAAGATGGTTTTTATGTATAATCATCAGATCCTTCGTTGCAGATAAGGGCTTGTCACTGATGAAGGAAGTGATCTGTAGCAAAGACACAGAAAATGTGGAGAAAATACATCTACTTAAACAGGCGCGGCAGCAGCAGCTTATCACAGCCTGGCTGGCTGAGCACCAGCTGGTAGTGGGCACTGAAGGAGGCATATAGTGTCACTTAGGAGATTTCAAGAAGCCAGCAGCCCGGCCAGTGTTGCTCAGTGATTGAAAATCGACCTAGGAACCAGGAGGTCACAGTTCAATTCCCCTTCAGAGCACATGCCTGGGTTGCAGACTCGATCCCCAATAAGGGGCCTTCAGGAGGCAGCTGATCAAGGATTCTCTCTATTGTTAATATTTCTATCGCTCTCTCTCTCTCTCCCTTTCTCTCTGAAATCAATAAAGATACATTTCTTTAAAAAATAAAAATTAATTAATTAAATAAAAAAGAAGCCATTCAACTGCTTATGCTGAATTCCCAGAAGTGCTCATTTTCTACTTAAAATAGGAACATTTATTCCTTGAGAGAGAAAAGAAACTCCTAGGGGGCCTGTGTTTATCTAGGAAGGAAATAGTTATGAATTTTTGGACAGGGTCTTATTCTATACAACTTGTGTTAAAAGACTGGAGATAAAGATGAAATAAAGCTTGTTTTGTTTTCCTTCATTATGAAAATAACCTTCTGAGAGCTGTTCTCAAAGAACATCCTCTACAAAGCAGTGGTGACAGAGTAAGGTTTTATTTCATCAGATGGTCATGGTTCCTGCATTTTTGCTCTGCCTCCTGCTGAGACTTGGGTAAATGGAAGTTAATGGTTTGTGGCTAAAGCCCAGTTACTTTCCTGCACATGGAGTCCGTTCTGTAGTGCGTTAATCTATCTTATACCCATCGAAGGAGCCATGAGAAGCCAGTATCAAGGACTGATCTGAAAGGTCAATTAATCTTCTTAGCAATACCCAAGGATGGAGTAGAGGGATGGAAACCATTCTGTTCTAGAGGGTTCTAATCCTATATAATAAAAGAGGAACATGCAAATTAACCGTCCCTCCACTATGCTCAAGCCATGCACACAAGCCAATCAGGAGCAAGTATGCAAATTAACCCAACTAAGATGGCGGCAGCCATGGAGCTGGAGCAAGCAGGAGGCTTGGGTTGCCCCCTGCGATGGAGGAAGCCAAGCTTCCCGCCTGCCCTGGCTGGCCCTGGGCTCCGCTCAAGGCTACAAAGTTTCAATTATAGAAGATAAATAAATCCCAGAAAGAAAAAAAAAGAAAGAAAAAAAGGAGAGGCTGGGAGCTTGGGTCGCCGGGGGGCATGGCCAGCCTGAAAACATCCATCAACCCCTCACCCAGGCTGGCCAGGCACCCCAGCGGGACCCCCCTACCCTGAAGGGTCTGTGGTCAGCCTGCAAACAGCCATCAGCCCCTCACCCAGGCTGGCCAGGCACCCCAGTAGGGACCTCCACCCTGAAGGGGGTGTGGCCAGCCTGCAAACAGCCCTCAGCCCCTCACCCAGGCTGGCCACATCCCCATGGGGTGAGGGTCCCCACTGGGGGGCTTGACCAGCCTGCAAACAGCCATCAGCCCCTCCGGCTGGCCAGGCACCCCAGTGGGACCCCCACCCTGATCTGGGACACCCTTCAGGGCAAACCAGCTGGCCCCCACATATGCACGAGGCCTCTATCCTATATAATAAAAGGGTAATATGCAAATTGACCCTAACAGAAGACCAACTGGGAATGACTGGTCACTATGACACACACTGACCACCAGGGGGCAGACGCTCAATGCAGGAGCTGCCCCCTAGTAGTCAGTGCGCTCTCACAGGGGGAGCTCTGCTCAGCCACAAGCCAGGCTGACGGCTGCCAGCACAGCGGTGGTGGTGGGAGCCTCTCCCGCCTCCTCAGCAGCGCTAAGGATGTCCGCCTGCAGCTTAGGCCTGCTCCCTGCTGGCAAGTGGACATCCCCCGAGGGCTCCCGGGCTGCCAGAGGGATGTCTGACTGCCATCTTAGGCCCAATCCCCTGGGAGAGCAGGCCTAAGCCAGCAGGTGGACATCCCCCTAGAGGTCCCAGACTGTGAGAGGGCACAGGCTAGTCTGAGGGATCCCCCCAACCGAGTGCACAAATTTTTGTGCACTGGGCCTCTAGTTGTAATACAAGAGAATGTGACTCCCTCAATGTGTGCCTGTTCTCTTGGTGTGATGAGGACAAAAACATACTCTTGACAGAAACGTGGCCAAATAACTGCTTGCTTGCTTCAGTCTCCAGTCTCTTTTTTAAAATATATTTTTATTGATTTCAGAGAGGAGGGGAGAGGGAGAGAGAAACATCAGTGATGAGAATCATCGAAATGGCAACCTCCTGGTTTATAGGTCGATGCTCAACCACTGAGCCACACCAGTCGGGCAGTCTGTATCTCTTTATAGCTAACTATTCTCAATCCCATGACAGAAGTGGAAGTTATGTTTATGTTAGTGCATAAAATTCTTAATTAACAAAATATAATCCATTGTAAATCACTTTGCTAAGCTTTTAAACTTCATAAGGATTCTGTCTTGTCCAAAAGCTGCTTTCAAACTGTGCTGATCCGGCATGCATGCGCCATTCCCTGTGGAGCTGAGTGCAAGGATGCAAAGGGAGCCAATTAAAGAAACTTAGAGCCAGAAGAGTCGAGCAGAGGCCATCTTGTCCATCCTTCTGCCTCCAGGCAAAACCCGTCCCCTGCACCCAACATTTGTACTTGAATCCGGCTGACAAACATGCTCACCACAAGTAAATGACAAGCAGCTTATCTGTTCAGGACTTACGTATGATGTTCTAAACATGCTGAGCAGGAAAGCTTGTCCGAATTGTTTTAATTCCTCCTTTCTAGGAAGTTATTTTGTTCAAGAAATGGTCTCAATCATTGTAAAGATGTGGGAGTCTGTGTCTGCACCACGAAGTTATCTTTGTCATCGTATTGAGTGTATTTCTGGCTTCCTTTCACTCTAGGTCTACCTTATGGGTGGGAGGAAGCTTACACAGCAGATGGAATCAAGTACTTCATCAAGTAAGTACAAGCGTCTCCTCCAAGTAAGCAAGTTTTTCACATCTGGCGGGAACCTGGGAGTTGCAGACTAATCAGCAAAACCAAGACACCCTCTTGGAGGTTACAGAAATTAGAAACAAGAAATGAAGGCTCACCATTTTCACTTCATGTGATTTAAGTGCTAATATCAGATATCATTTGGGGAACAAAATTTAAAAAAAAACAGCCTAATAATAATTTCAAGGGGAACATCAAAAAATTGGAACAAGGTCATCATTGGAACTTAAATAGTGACCGCTTGGATTCACTTCTGGCTTAAGGTATTAATATTTGTGAAAAGTTAATCTAATGAAAACCCCACTTAAAATTCTCAATAATAGTGCTTAAAATGAACATTCTTAATGCTTTCCAGTCTGCACAGTTCATTTACCTGCAGATACTTTTTTGAACATTTGCCATGTGCCAGGCAGTGGTTCATGCCTTGCAAATTCCATAGTGAAATATACAGAGTAGATCCCTGATATCATGGAGTTTACATAATAGTGAGGAAAGTCAGGAAATAAGTAATTGAAGAGACAAATGAGATGGTATATGAGCCACCTTTATCTTAGTGGATCCTCAGAACACCCTTTTATGTGTTCCTTATTCTCCCTGTTTGATAGATGAAGACAGTAAGAGCCTAGAGTGGTTGCCAAAAAATCCACAGCCACGAAGTTACCAACCCAGAGTAGAATCCATCTTCTGACTCCAGGATTCTCCCTAATAGACTAGACTCACCAAAAGAGACCTGTCTTTGAAAGGAATACATGTTCCAGCTGCTGACCTGGTTAGCTTTACCCTGGACAAAGCAGTCTGGCATACTTCCACTGTGTTTGGGACAATTCTTTTCATGTCAGATTTGGGTTATGAGGTCAAAAGGGGGGACTCCTGACAGACTCCTAAGATCCCAAGAGACGCCCTGAGTTGTCCTTTTTAACTAATACTTGCTGTGCATTTGGGGAGGAAGAGGGAGGTGTTCTTGCTGTCCTTTCAGATGTGCAGGTATTTTCCAAAGCAATATCCAGATTTTGTATTCTCAAGCTCTGTGACTTGACCAGGTTCTACATCTCTCTTCACCCCAGTTTTCTCATCATAAAATCAGGGAAATATTACCTACTTTATAAAGTTGTTCAATGCTAATTAAGTATTTAGCATAGAACTTTGAACATAGTAGGTGCCCAATAAGTACTCAGAAATGTACAATATGGAAAAATCGTCTTGGTGGGGGGGAAAACATGAAAAATAGTGTAACCATTAACAACATTGAGAATTCAAAAGCTTCATATTTGAAAATATTTAAGGAAAAATTAGGGGTAAACTTGTCAAAGTATTGTCATGATATATTTTTTCTTGTGGTCTCCAGCAAAAGGTAATTCATACAGCAAAGGTGTGATTTGTAACCTGCAGAGGGGAAGGGGACTGGTGGAGCAGAGAACCCAGGAATTCCATGCATAGATCACGTTTAGCCCCTTACTATTCACTTCCAGAATCCTAGCTTTTCTGGAAGGGAAGCTTCACTCTGATATGTTGGGTTAACTATGGTTAGTTCTTGGACAATTGAATCACTGGGCTTTCGGGATGGCAGGAAAATGAAAAACCGTCTTCAAATCTGCTTTGGTTTCTTTCTCATAATAACTTTGTAATGAATAAGGGAAAAGATATGGGGGTGGTGAAGGAAATAAGCATTTATTGGGCATTAGCTGGTGTTGAATAGCCAGGCATATGTTAGGTTTATTTTTCTATGCGTCATGTCATTAAATCCTCCTAACAATGTGGAAAGTGGGCACCACTCGGCTCTTACTAGGATGGTATTCTGACGGTGGTTAGCTGCCTCCTGCCCTCAGCCATGCCTGTCTTCTAGAAGGTCCCCAAAGAAATGCCTGATCAAAGAAAGGCAAACTAGTATTCTTATTCACTGGGTTCTGAATTCAAAGGTATTTGGACAGTGGCAGTGAATGAGTGTGGACCCTGTGGGGACTCCTCGCTAAACTTAGCCTTAGCCGTCTGTCAGTGTATTCCTACCAAAAGGTGAAGTCAGAGCCTAACTAGTGTCAATGGAGGAAAGGATACGAAAGGGATAATCGCCAACTACCAAGGAAAAGGAGGGAGCAGGAGAGGGCCAGCAGAGAGCGAGTGTGCCCCAGGGCCTGTTACCCAGCTGTCTAAGCTGCGGTCCTTTGCAGAGGGAACACTAGCCTGGGTTGGGCTCCCTCCTACCCGAGGGAGAATAGCACCGGAGCAGAGGAGAGAAGAGAAGGAATACACAAGGCCTTCGACTGCCCTGAGATCTAACTCACAGTTCCTGTGGAAGGAATGGAAAGGGACACTACATTTATATAGTGGACTCCGGTCTAGGAAATATAGCCCTTAGAGTGTGCTTTGGAAGGTCACCAGTTGTTTTCTTCGACCTCAATATTGACTCATAAGGAAAGCAGGAAAGAGGCAATAAGACAGATTTGTTCCCAGAGGACAATGGCGGGTTTCATTGTCTCACCATTACAGTCTGAGAAACTGTGTGGAAAGGAGACTAAACCTGTCAAGGTTACACAGCAGTAAAATCACACAGACCCAGGGCTGTCTGCCCCATAGCCACCCCTGCCCCACCACGCACACGCACACGCACACGCACATGCACACACTGCACCTCCCCCATCTCCTTATTTTAATATAGTATGTTTACATGTGACGAAGAAGACATTTTAAACAGATCTTCATTTAGGAAGAACTCTACACTTTATTCATTTTAAAACAGCAGATTGGAAACGTAGTTCTAAGAATGAGTACTTATCTCCTGGAGATCAGAAAGGTCAAATAATAGAGATAAGGAAAATCTAACACTACACCAGTGCTTCCTTTACGGGCCTCAGGGAGGAACAGGGTGCATACCAGGAACTGGGTTTGGGGGGAGGGGGTTTGGTAGAAATTAACCCTATTCAAGCACCTACCCTTATTTTACCTTTATTCTTTATGAAAGTCTTACTTAATAGGTGTTAATACTTCCCTACCTTCTTTCAGGGCACTGAACAAGCACAAGTTATTGTGAATGTCAATCTTATACATAATACAGTGAGTTCTGCAGGGGGATATTAGGCTGTATAAGCTAGAATACAGATACAGCGGTCACGTCTCTGCTCTCAACATGCCTGTCCATCCCCTCTCCCTACTCTTCATTTTTATCGTCTACACACCTCACCCTCTTCCCCAGGAGTTTATTTGAAGAGGACAGGACACCAGATAATCAGACTAAGTTCAATTGCTTGTCAGTAGTCCTTGAGGTGTGTCTGCAGGGGTTTGTGTGTGAGTCAGGTACATTTGATGGGCTTACTTCTTGGCTCTTAGCTGCGTTCAGATAGATGATGCCACCAGAGAAGTAGTGTCTGCATAAACAATCATCTACTCTGTGTCTTTCTTGGAACTTCGTCTTGTTTTTTTGCTTTTCGTTTTTTTGTTTGTTTGTTTGTTTTTAATCTTCATCCTCTCACTGCCTGGATAGCCTGTGTTGGTTTTTGAGTAGGAGTGGTTCATTTACCAGGTTAATGTACTTTGGAGACAAGGAATAACGAGTAATTAATTCAGGTTATTCCCTCTCTCACCTTTACTTGTGATTGCAATCATCCTCCGGAACACCAGAGGAGGTGATGGTCTGTGTACATACAGTCTTTCCCTGAGATTGACATCTGTCACTGGCGTCCCAGAAATTGAATTGTTACCTCTGATGGAAGCCACGCCTCAGGCAGAGGAGTAACTGTCAGTGCTGTCCCAAGAATGCCCAGGCACATATTGTCCTCACTCAACATCCCATCCATCCACGTGTCCATTGCACAACTATGAATACTTCGTGGTTGTCCACTTAGGTTCTGACTCAGGGGAAGGAAGCATTGCACGTGGTATAAACAAATTTATGCAAAGTGTTGGTGTTATGGAAAGAGCCGAGAAAACCTCAGCATATTGTTTGTGGATTCCAAAGAAATAACCCCCGAGGACTGGCCGTGAAAGACACGGGTCTACTAGGGCTTACCTGTGCGCCGGTGTCGGCTGGCCCGTGAAGTTTTCCATCATACAGGAGAGTGGGGGAGTGTATTCTGCCACCCACACTTTCCAAGTACTGTGTTATATAGGGTACAGACAGCAGAGCGCACAGCACCTACTGGTGGCTGTGCGACATCAAAATGCAGGCTGTTTCTCTGCAGCTGCTTACTGTCCGCGCTCACTTCACAAGCAGTTTCTCTCCGGCCCAGCAGCTGACCAGGCTCCCGAGGTCTGACAGTCCCCTTACAGATGGCCTTCACCACATTCCCACAGGGCGGGAGCTTGGGGAGGGCCCCATGTTCTCACATACCACACACTTGGCCTTGCTAGAGAGTTTCAGAGAACTAAGAGCATGTGTATCTCCTATATGTGTATGTGTATACCAATATGTGTGTGCACATATGTGTATCGGCAGGGCTTGCTCACTTGATAAATATGCGAGCATTCAAGGGAAAATGTTCTTAACTTTTCCTTAGAGAGTTGCAGATTTCTTAAATTTCATGACAAGTGTCAGTTGCTTGATGGTGCTATAATGAAGTTATTTGATTAACTTGACCATTTTCCTACTTACCTTCTTCTCTTCCCTTTGAAGTTGTATACTATTCCAGTTCTATAGTGGTCTTTGGTACGACTCCACTTTACAAGTTCATGTACTTTATCTGTATGTTACATAATTTTACAAAACCATTATGAGAGTTATGTTTGATAGTGAAAGTGAATTTAAATATTATAAATTAGACAGCTGCTGCATTGCTCTCATTGTATTCTTATTTTTTATTGAAAGATTCGGACTTACAATGATCAGTGATCATGATTGTACTAATTCTCTATTGCTGCATAATAAAATTCCCCCAACTTTTGCAGCTTCAAACAGTAAATATTTTCTCACTGAGTTTCAGAAAGTGGGCCATCCAGGTGTGGTTTTGCCGGGTCAGCGTGGCGCTCTCTGGGTT